GGTGACCCGCACCATCGAGAAGAAGACCGCGCGCCTTGTGATCATTGCGAACAACGTGGACCCCATCGAGCTGGTGCTCTGGATGCCCACGCTGTGCCGCGCCAATAAGGTCCCGTACGCGATTGTGAAGGACAAGGCGCGCCTCGGTGACGCGATCGGCCAGAAGACCGCCACGTGCGTTGCGATTACAGACGTGAACGCCGAGGACGAGGCTGCTCTGAAGAATCTTGTTCGCTCCGTGAACGCACGCTTCCTGGCCCGCAGCGACGTCATCCGTCGCCAGTGGGGAGGCCTGCAGCTCTCGCTGCGTTCACGTGCCGAACTCCGCAAGAAGCGTGCTCGCAACGCTGGCAAGGATGCCGCCGCCGTCGTGTAAAAAGAGGATACTTGCTCTGGGCAGTTTACCTTTTTTTCTTTTTTCTTTTCCTTTGATAGCCATGACCATTGTTCATTCTTTTTGCTTTTGTTTTTCGTTTAACATTTGGCATTGGCATGTGCTGGTACATGTGCTACCCTCCTCACGTTTCCTACTTCCACGCTGGGGGGAGGGGGGAGGGGTGGATCCTTTTACTCCTTCAATTGCAGTACAATAATATGAGGCGTGCTTGTTTCGGTTTGGTTCTTTCTCCCTCTGGTTCTTTTTTTTTTGTTTTCGTTTGGGTGTGCAGCGGCGTGGTGTCAGGGGTCTCGTGCGGGAGCGGAAAAGAAGTCGGAGCTAAAGGCAAGGAGGAGAAGAAAAAGAAGAAAAAGGGGGGCTCAGGCGAAGGGAAGGGAAATAAGGAGGTAAAGTGAGGCCAAAGGTTGCGTCTGTCAGGTGGTGATTAGGGGAGTGAGGCGTGGCGGAAGGGGAAAGGCGGCATAAACGCAGGACTACATCAGCTGAACTGTGCCCCACACGCATTGGTGCTGCTGCTGCTGCTGCTGCTGGCATTGCCGTAGGAGGCTACAGGGGCAATAAGTAGTACGCAGAGGCAGGGACCATGAAGAGTGCTCTCACCATATTAGCAGACGAGATCAATGAGGCGTTAGCCCAACTTTCAAAGGCGACGGAGGCTGTGATCATTGCGGAAACATTGCTGGAGAAGAAAACCGCGGAAATTGCGGCACGCCCCATCATGCGAGAGGCTCGTGGCAAAATAAGTACCCTGCGTGCCGAGGTGCGCCGAACGCAGGACCCGGCTACGCGGGCTCAATACGAGAAAATTTGCCACGAGGCAGATGGGAGGGTGCGTTCCTTAGATGGTGAGATGAAGCAACAGATTTATCCAAAGCGCACGGTGCCACGGGAGAAGACATACACGGAGTGGAAAGAGGAGGAGTTGATAGGAACCGGCGGGCCAGATGGGACGGGTTTTACAGACTCTAAACAGGTGCTCCAGTCTGCCGTAAATGTGCAGAGGGACGCGATAATTTCTTTAGAACGGGCAGAGCGACTGCAGCACGTTACAGAGGAAGGAGGCCATGAAACCCTCAAAACGTTGCAGCAGCAGGCTGAGCAGATGTATCAGGTGGATGAGGGGCTTCAGAACCTGCACGGAGGACTTGATCGCGCGGCACGTGAGATAAAGTGGTTCTATCGCCAGTTGGCAGGTGATCGGTGCTTTCTTTCACTCTTTGGGATATGCGTAGTGGCGCTGGCAGTGCTGGTGTTTGTGATGATTTACAAGAAGCGGCACAAGTGAAGGGCGTTGTATGCAACGCCGGCAAGGCGCCTTCTTTTTTGTCTTTTTGTTTCGTGCTTCCCGCTTTCTCTTTTCCCCAACGCAGCAGCACCTCTACGGGAGCAGGTATGGCGTGCAGGAGGTGGAGGTGGAGGAAAGGGGGATAATTGTATTGTTTTTGCTTGGCTGTGTTCTCTACAATTTTTCCTTTTTTTTTATTTTATTTAAAAAAAAAAAAACTTTACTGTTTTTTTTTCCTTCAGTTCAAAAGTAGTATCATTACTGCTATTATTATTGCCTTTATGTTGAGCCCCATGTGAGTGGAAGCGCCCAACATGTAATGATTGAAGCGGTATCTCTTTTGTGAGCGTTTCCTGCTCACCCACGCACAGCCTCTTTAAATATGCGAGTGGACATACATGCGTTGGGTGTTTCTGTGTGTGCATTGCATTTCACTGACTTTGGGTAGGTGCATTGCTCGGCTTGCTTTGCCTTCTCTCCCTCCCTTTTTTCCCTCTGTGTGTGTGTGTGTGTGTGGGTGCTGGGCCTCAGCTGTTGCCGCCAGTGCTTTTTGCTACGTGCCTGCGGAACGATGCGAAGTGGGTGACGTGGGGAATCATGCAGGCGTGCTATTTGGCGTCCGCCCCACTTGTGCACGCAGGCCCGGTCGTTGCCGTCCGCCGACCACAACGGCCGCAAGCAATGAAACCAGCGAGGTAAAGAAACTTTGGGGGAGCTTCTGGACCCTTCTCCTACCAAAATAGAATAGAGTAACTCCTTCTTGTGTTGCCGTTTTTAATGGCTGCCGCGCGTCTGTTGTCTTGCTCTCCCCTCTCCACTCTTCACTCTCTCCTCTCTTTTTGTTTTTGTTTTATTCTTGTTGCCATGTATTTGTGGTGTTGCGTAGCCATTTTCTCTCCCTGCAGTTTGTTCTCTCTGCGTGGTTGGAGAGGCACGAGGAAGGGAGGGGGGGCGAGGGGAAAGAAGGAAACAAAACACACAACACGGAAGGAGGCAGAGGTTGTGTCGGAGGGCGCACCGCGCCGGGTTGTCTGTGTGCGGGCGTCTAGCCGGCTGCTGAGGGAGTACAAAAGCGGGGCGAGGGACGGACAGCAGAGGACGGGGGAGGCGTGCCAAGGCGGCAGCAGGAAGTCAGACAGGGCAACAGTAGCAGTGGGAGGGCGTGAGGGGCACAGCGCGGGCGCCACTTCTTCCTCTCTCTTTTCTGCGTGGTCGTCTTCACTTTGTTGTTTGGCGCCGTAGGTGAACAACCCACGCATGGCGGATACCAACCCGCCGTCTCCGCTGCGAGGGGAGCAGCTGGGATGCGACGAATGCCCTACGCTTCCCGCGGGGGGCGCGTTAGCGCCGGAGGACTACTACGTCTCGGTGGAGAACATACAGCTACTCTGGCTGAGCGGCACCATCGGCCGCACCATCATTGCCCCTCTTGATCGTGTAAAGTTCATCCTGCAGTGCCAAGGTGAACTACAGCGACTAGGCACATTAGATGGATCGTTTCGCGGGGCGGGGCACTGTATGCGTCACTTAGCCTCTGTTGAGGGCTACCGTAGTTTTTGGCGGGGTAATTTGATTCAGGTGGTTTCCTTGCTGCCAATCACAATTGCACAGATATTTATCGCACTCCCCACGCAATCCTTTGTATTTAATGCCTGCCCGCACTATTCGGTGTCGACGTATACCGTCTCACTCTACGCGGCGCACATATCTGGTGCGCTTGCGGCGTCGATGGTCTCTTACCCACTTGACTTCGCGCGGTTTAGGCTTGCGGTCGACGTTAAACCATTCCGTGGTGCCTCGTACGAGTACCGCCACAGTTTGGCATTTTTTTCTCAGCCCATACTGAGTGAAACTCCACACCTGCTCTACAAGGGTTTAGGCCTGTACGTGTTTGGTAGTCTTCTATATCAAACTGTTCACAATGGTATTTTGAAAGTTATGGAGCCGTTCGTCCTCCCTGAGACACCTGATAGCAGCTATGGCACAGTGGCAGTCCAAGTAGGGACGGGCCTCACCGTGTCGGCGCTCTCAACACTCTGTCTTCACCCCATAGATACTGTGAGGCGGCGCATGATGATAGCGGCAACGGAAGACGATCTCCGTTATTCCTCAAGCATGCATTGTGTCCGCCACATTGTGCGGACGGAGGGGCCGGCGGGGTTGTACCGCGGGGGCCTCTTTGCCCTGGTAAGGATGGTGGCCACAACGGCGCTATTCACGCTAGGAAGCGTCACAAGCTGAGCGGTTGTGTGCGTCGCAAGTAGGGGGCGGCACACGGTCTTGGCAATCGGTGTGTGTGTGTGTGTGTGTGTATGTGTCTGTATGTGTGTGTGTGGGAGGGAGGCAGAATAGGTGTTTTGTTTGTTTGTTTTTTTTGTCCTCCTTTCCTTTTCGTTATTGTTTTGGTGGTATTTGTCTCTATGCGAGGGACGAGAGGGAATTTTGTAGTGGATGTTTCGTGGATGGTGCCCAATCACGTACTATATGCAAAACTAAGGGGGGAACACGTGGGCGGGTACGGCAGCGACATCAGCAATAAGCAGAGGGAGAGGTAAAGAGTGAAAAAGCAGAGGCAAAAAAAAAAACGAGAAAAACGGCAACAAGAAAGAAGGAACGAAAGAATAAAAAGGATGAAACGAGAAAGCAAATAAAAAAAGAAAACAAAAATAACGGGAAAGAAAAACGGAACAGAGGCGACGGCGTACATCGGGCCTGTCGGGGCTGCAGAATGGAAAGGAACCATATGTGTCTGTTTGAGATAGAGAGGGCTGGAGTGGGAAGAAGAGAGAAGGGCTGAGAGTAACCTTTTATGGCTTCTCTCTAGTCGCCGGTATCCGTTTGCTGACGACTGGAGAAAGGTTTGAGCGGTGAAGGCCTGTGACGCTTTTTTTCACATGTGTGATGCATTCGCAGGCATGCCTGCATCTGGATGGCGTGCTCCGGTGCGGTGTACCGTGGATGCCTCTGTGTTTCTCTCACTCTCTCTTTGTGCCTCTCTGTATTTTTATTTTTATTTTTGCTCTTGCTCCTGCTGCTACTCTTGATGATGATGATGACAAGGTACCTGGTTTGCTTTACTCCTTTTTTTCTATTTTTCCTTCTTGTTTGTTTGTTTGTTTGGTCTCGGCTTTTGAACTGATTTTCCTCCTCATGCCTTTGTCTGTCTGACTCGCACCCCGTTTCAGGCGTCTGCAGCGGGTGTGCGCCTCTTTCTCTCTGCGTGCAAGTTTATTTCTCTACGGTCGCTCACGTGCTCGTTTTTTTTTTCTTTCTTTCTCTCGCTCCTTTGCCCTGCATTCCTTTCTTTCTTCTTTGTTTGTCTTGGGAAGGGGAAGTCGCCAGACGAGGTGTGGTGCTCACGCGCAGCAAATGAGCCGGTGGAATCGCACACCGCATGGGCGCTCTGCGGAGGTGGAGGACTCAATCCATTACCTGCGACGCTATCTAGGGGACGCTGCGCCTGACACCCGGCAGCGTCCCGCATCGTCCACATCTCAAATGGGCAGCGCCGTGGCTGCAGGGGTGCTGCCGGCCTCCGTGGTTCACGGCGAGTGGGGGACACGGCGCACGCGAGGAGCGGTCTCCCCCGGCAAGTCACATGATCAAACACCGACGTCGGCACGTGCGCCTCGTCACGGAAGCGGTGATGGCGGCGGTCTCAGCCGTCATCCATCTTCCCCGCTGCGAGGAGAGGAGTTTCTGCACACCGAACAGCACCGCACACCGCGGGAGCAGACAGCACGGGATGCAACCTTCTCCTTTCATGAGCCACTGCGTCTGCAGTACAGCTCCACTGTCTCTGACCCCTCTGGGCGACCTCCGCTGCCGCACCATCAGCAGCAACAGCGTCAGGATGCGGCCGTGGCCATGAAGGGCGCGTCCACTGGCGGGTGGGAAGGCGCTTCGCCACGCCGCAATACCGCGACAACTGGTAAAGAGTGGCGGCGAGAGGCAGGCGGCACGGACCCAGGATATCAGCGGGACGCTGTGAGGCACTTGGGGCGAATTAACGGCGACTTGCAAGACAGGTTGGTCCTTGACGCGGATGCATCGCAATACGACCATCACTACCCTCACCGCCGTAATCACGGAACATCCCACAGTGAGGGATTGGTAGGGAACGACACATACTACGGCGACGGTGTCGAGAAGAGTGGGGAAGGTGAGGAGAGAAGTCACACGCGTGGGGGCAAGGCACCCCCGACAAATCGTGACACTAGCTCACTCAAGGGAGGCGGTGTAAGTCAGCATCGTACTCTGGGGAGTGATCTTTCCCCTGATGATAGGTTGAACGCGTCTGTCACAGCGTATGTGGGCTCTGGAATGCGTCAGTCCACGTTGAATGGATTACCGCCATCATCAGGGAAGTTGCCCGGTGAGAGGACACACCCGCAGGACGTGTTTCCGTACCCAAAACACGAGGACAACTTGCGGTCTATGCTTTTTTACTTGAAAAATAACTATGCCCTCGAGCCACAGGAGTCTCTTCGCGGCATCGAAACGATGACGCCGGAGGACGTGCTGGATCTTGTGCAGTGCTTCTATGTTGATGCCTACCGCGCCGTGCGACGTGCGAGGGATGCGGCGGGTGTGGGTCGTGCCGGGTTTACAGAGCAGGATCCTCCGGTGGATTGCGTGGTGGGTGCACTCAGCGACAGTGAACTGCCAACAAGAACAAGAGAAGTATCTGAGGAAGGGATGGAGGCGACGGCACCTGTGCCGCTCCCACAGTCATTGCCACCGTCCAGCAGCCAGATCCAGCGCGCCACATCCAGACAAACACCTCCACAGCAGGTATGGCGGCCCCATGCGGCAGTGGCCAGCGGTGGCGGGGTTGCCGCTGGAACGCCATCCGGTCGTTCTCATCCACCACTGCAGTCCCGTACACCGCTGGAGTACCTGACGTCTGAGGGCGCCAACGCCAGTGCCCTGAGTGGGGGTACTCTGCTTTCTATGGAGCCCCCGCACGAACCCGGCAGCGGCATCATTAAGCGGCCACTGAAGGAGCTTATGCCACTTCTACGCCGTGGTTCGACACTCTGCAAACACGTGGAAGATGGGCGCCCGCACATGCGTTTCTTTCGTGTGGAGGATTATCTTGGGGAGTATCGCGGGAAGGAGGTGCTTACGCCGCACTTGGTGTGGTACTCCACCGCGAAGGATAAAAAACCCGTCACGGTGTTAAACCTGCTTAGTCTCCTCGGTGTGCATATCCTTCTTGCAGATACCAGCGGCCAGTTTCTCAAACTGTTTCGGCGCAAAAAAGGGATCGTTGTCGACCACAGTCAGCGTCCTGTCGCGCGAGGCATGTGCGTTGTCTTTCAGTTTGAAAGCCGCGATGTGGCCGTGTCATTCCTAACGGAGGAGGATCGGCAGGTTTGGGTGGGCGGCATGATGGGCGTGGTGGAGAAGAACAGGCTGCTGGCTCCCCGCCTTTACTAGTGACGCGTCTGGAGGCAGAAAAAGGAAAGAAATTGAAGAGAGAGAGAGAAAGAGACTGTGAAAGTCAAGAAGAAAAAGGAAGGTAAAAAAAAGGAAGGTGCGGAGAAAGATACCATAGACGACCCCGCACGTGGCAGCGGAGGGTGTGTGACGTATGACGCCGCATTCCCCTGGCAAACCGCCGCTGCTACTGGAGGTGCTGGGTGTTAGGCGATGATCCGCGGAGGAGGAAAGGGAGTCGCAGGGCGAGAGATGCTCGTAATTCCGTTGACTTCTCTGTTGCCCCCCCCCGGCCAGGTTCACACTGCGCTTCACGCGCTGTCTTTTTCCCTTCCTCTTTTCTTGCGCTTTGAGCGCAGCTTTCAATGTGTTTTTTTTTTGTTCTTATTTGTAGTTTTTTTTTCCCCTTTCTTATTTCTTTCTGCTTTTTCTTCTGTTACCTGCTTCACTTTGGGCCAGAAGCGGCGCACAGGCTTGTTTCTTTTTTTTTTTTGTTCTGTGACTGACTGACTGCTTCCCCCTACTCATACTGGCATCTGCAACGCGGGCCGATTGTGCGAGACAAACGGACACCCCGGGCGAGACGGAGACCGGGTGACGTGCGGGCGGGAACACAGGCAAGAGGAGGACCCCCATTGTCCTCAGACAAGCAACACCGCGTGCCGGTTGTGGTGGCGACGGTCGCGCAGTTTACGCTTGCGCAAACCCCTCATCTCCCTCCCCTACGCGCACGTGGAGTGCCGAATTTTTGACGGCTGCACACGGCAGGGGAAGTGCAGCGACATCAACGGCAGAAGAGCCAATTAACACGGGACCCAGCGGGGGGATAAGGGGATAGTTTCGTTTGGCGTCGCCTCCTCCAAAGGAAGGAAGAAGGCACGTGGATACATCGGTGCTCAAACACATACATACACATATATATATACACCTTTGTGCGTAGGAAGGAAGAATAGTAGCAGAAGCATAGCAAACACTCTGAAGAATCGTGGTATTTAAAGCGTAAGATTAGTGGGCTGACGGCAAGGGGTGAAAGGGACTTTTTTTCCGCTTTTTTCCTTTAGTCACCTCTTCATCTTTCACTGCTTGCGTTTCCAATTGGAGCGCGGCGACACGAAAGCAACCGTCACAACGGTGAGGGGGGAAAGAGGAAACAGGGCACTCCCGCATACGTAAAATACAAAAAGGGACAACAACAAGATCAATATCGGTGAGTAACGTGGCAAGCACATGGCGACACCCAGTTCCTTGACATCGATGCTTCTCTTTTTCTGGGACCGTGGGGGGGATGCAGGTGCGACGAAGGACGACAAGGAAGGCAATGACGCCTCTGCGTCCTTCGTGGATGATTTGTCTCTGGAGGAGTTTATAAGCCATGTGTATGGAACCACTCCGTATGGGTCTGGCGTCAACAAAACATTGGGGGAAGGGGTATCCTCACGTGGCACTCAGGTCAGCATCCTCACGAAATCTAGGCTTCTCTGCCCATTTGAGTGGATCTTTGCCTCCGCTCCCTCCTCAGACGCCACAACGGGTTGGCATGCCCTTAGAGTTAACCACTTTGCGTCTATTCTGCATACATGGAGCCAAATAAGCGCCAGCCTTGTTTCTCCCACCGCGCGCAAGGGCGTAAGTGTCAGTTTCTTTCCAACCAACCTGTCACATTGTATTATGCCCTTTTCAAAAGGTCACTGCTGCAATGGCGTTTATCATGAGGTGCGTGCACACATTCCGATTCATATTGTCTATACGCCCTTGCCAGAACGTACTAACGGTGAAGAGCAGGTAGAGTCTACTGATCTTCATGCTGCACTGGGGGAGTTTTTGCGGTCTCGTCGTATGTGCGCGCGTCTACTGCGCAAACTCATTCACGACGCATGCTTGAAGCTGATGTCTGATGCTGGGTGTTCTGTTCTCATATCCACCAGTGATGATGTACTGCAACGCGTAAACTCTTTTCCCTCTCTGGGAGACGAATGCGTGGATGAGGAGATGCTTTGTTGCGCCTGCGGATGCATCAAGAGGGGCTTTACACCCGTGCATCATTTTCTGTTGCCTTTGGGGACTGCCTTGGAGCCCCCCACGTCCATTGTGTTTAAGGTGGGGATAGAGGACAATGAAGCCCCGCTTGGCGTTGTGGCAGGAGAGGAAGGCAAAACCGCTGAAGAGGATGAGGTGAGGGGAAGGAACGTTACAATTTTGATACATACAGTTGTGCGCGCCACGCGTGCCCGCACAGGTGATACACCGCGCTGGAATTCAGACATATTGGCGTATAAGGCGCTGGCATCACTTCTGCCGGTGCGGTTTGCTGTGCAGGGGGCAAGCATGATAGAGGTGGGCGAGGTAGGCGCAGACGGTCGTATTTGCGCCTGGTCGCAACGCACCGGCGAGGTGGTATTTAAGGCGGGGGAACAGATGCAGGAGACGTGGGAGCTATTGCTGCCGTCACCGAAGCCCCTCTCACCGTGCGTGGCAACGGGACCGACAACGGGCAAGGTGAAGACGCAGCATAACCCCTACTGCATGCTCACACGGTCCTTAACCTCTCACGAGTTCCACGCCGTAGACAGTCAAAATTTTGGGAGCGTCAAGGACGAGGACAGCCGCAGCGTGAGTGAGGAGCTTAGCTGCAACGGCAGAAACTCCTTAGTGCAGGATAATAACAAAGACGGTTACCCCATCTCAAGCTCTTCTGAAAAGGCTGGCGAGGAGGTGGTGGCAGAGCCCTCCGCGGAGGGAGGGGAGGAGGAGGAGGAGGAGGAGGAAGAGGAATTCTTCCTTGATGAGACCAAGCAGACCATTCTATCATTAATGCAGGAACTCTTGGAGTGCGGGCGGCAAGGCATGGAGCTGCATCAGGGGCTTCAATGCCAGTTATATTCTCTGCTGCTTCAGTTTGTATCCGGGACGGATATACCGCCACAGCGCAGGAGGAATCGGGGAGGCAGCAGACGCGACGGTGAGGACGAAACAGGGGCTTTAGCATTTCTTTCTGCATTTCTCGGGACAACCGCAGGGGGCGAGAGCGAAGACGCGATACTTCAGCAGGCCATAGAAACTCTGACAAACTGTGGGTGCAGGGGCAGCAGCAGCTACGCCACCTTTGACGACTGCGTCAAGGGGGCGGCAGAGGAGATTCAAGCACTTGAAGAACGTTTGCGTGCCGAGCCGGTGACAATTGTAAGCGTCAGTAACGACGGAAAGCAAATTCGAAGCGGCGTCGCAGCCACAAAGCATGCACGGAAGCGAAAGAACGGCGCTTTCCTCTTTCTCGGTGGAGCGAGAGGTCTTGCGCTGGAAGCTCACAGGGCCACCAATACAGCGAGCAAAAGAGCGCTCGACAAGAACAAAGACGACAATGACGGCACCGGCGTTGTGCTGCGGGGCTCCTCGTCAGCGCTTGCGGAGGTACGCCAACTCATAGACGACACGCTTGCAAAGCTGCGGGCAGCGGTTGCATGGGGGCGCCAACGGGTCACGGATCTGTGCTTCACTTGCCAGCTGTGTCAAGGGGTACTGGCTCCCTGCCTGGAGGCCCGCACAAACCTTGTGAAGGCAGAGAAGAAGGCACGCTCTGGCCTGGAAATTGACTACATTGTATCCTCGGAGATCGCACGGGAGGCAATTAGCGGAACAAGCAATGCAGCGAGCGAGGCGGGGGGAGTGGAAGAGGAAGAAGAAGAAGAAGAGGCAAGCGAGATGAGGGGGACACCTTCAGCTGAGGAGGGAACCTTGAGAGATGCGACTGCGACGGGTGCGGAGGTGGCAGCTGTGGAGCTTGAGGGGCAGAGCGGTGGGGTAGAGGCAAGATGGCATGAACGTACGGAGAGAGCGGCCACCACCCGCACCTCTTCCGCGTCCTTGGTGGCATCCACCGCAAGAACAAAAAGACGCAAAAACGTTGGCGCACCGAGTGTGCGGCGTCCACAGTCGACGACCTCGCAGGAGTCAGCACCGCTACTTAGTCTGCTGTCGAAGAGACGCAGAAACGGCGGTGTTGAAAGGGCAAGGAAGTCTCTTCCTATTCCCGCTGGCTCCTTGCCACAGAAGCAGGTTTTGCACATGACCGTGTTTGTATTTATGATTCTGTGTGGGTTGGGCATGGTAGTTTTCTTGTTCCCGTGAGAGAGAGATAGAGAGAGATTGAGAAAGAGAGATTGATAAGAGAGAAAGAGAGAGAGAGAGAAGGAAAGAGAGAGAGGGAGGGAGGGGTGGATGGGGAAACTCACGATGTTTTTCTTTGTGCTGTCGTTATTCTGCCTTTGCCCGTCTTTTTTGCACGTCTCTGCCTTTTGGCGGTGGCACGAGCTGCGCGTTGGGGCGTGTGACGATGCGGGCTGCGGAGGGGAGGGAGCGAAGGGGCTGTGCATGCACGCGGACATGAGCATCCATATGAAGCAGCAAAATAAGCGGGACAAATACGGAAGGAAGGTCTCGGGAGGGAAGGCAATGAAAACAGCAGCCAATAAGCAAGCAAGGAACAACGGCCTTGGAGACGGGTGAAACAACGGGGTTAATTAAATGTTGTGGTGTGTGTGTGTGCCCGTGCAGAGGAGGTGAGAAGCGGCGGGGGAGGGCCAGCTGACGAGGGGGTAAATAAATTAAAAGCAAAAGTTTGATTGATGTGCGTGCGTGTTGTTTATGTCTTCATGGCCTCGCTCAGGAGGTGCTTTGCGCCTTTCTTTTCAGGGACGCCACGTTGCATGTCACGGCGCAGCACTCGGGAGCGAGCAGCGACGCCCCGCCAATGCAAGCAAACAAGCAATAATAATAGTGATGATAATACGCAGAAGAAAACGCAAATCGAAGAAAATACCATGTTGAAGAGCAGCGTGCATGCAGTTTTCGTGTCATGTTTGATTTGCCTTCTTCCTCTCTCTCTCTCTCCCCCACAGCAGTCCGCGTACTCCACTGATAGCACGAACTCCCTCCGCGCGGGGGGGCTCCGGCGGGTGTGGTGGTCCCAACAGCCACCACCCGCGCCCCGGAACAAAAGAGAAGGAAAAAAAAAGGTGAGAATTTGCTTCAATGTATGTGTGTGTCTGTATACGTGGCATCTCCGCGTTGACGTCACCGCATTTTTTTTTTTTTTGTGTACTCACTTTCTCACCCTTTCGTCCCATTTTTCCCACTGTTTCCCTCTTTTTTGTCTTTATTGTTCCTGTTTGAGTGCGGTGCGAGTCTTTCTTCTTGTACGCTGCATTTTGGGTCGTTTTGTCTCGTTGGCCTGCTGACGTTACCCTGTTTTCGCTTCTTCCCCTACAAATCAAAACTGCGGCGTGAGAGGAGACGGAGGTCTTTGCAGCAGCGGTATGCACGAATAGCTGTAGCTGCCTGTTTACACCTCGAGGCGTGTGCATCTGCGTGTGTATGTGCAGGGCAAGACGGTCAAACTGGCAACACTGTTGGGTTTTCCTTCGTTGCTGGTGTGTGGTGAGAGGCGAGACAGGCACAGACGCAGCTGCACACTGACCCTCCCTTAAGGACATCCACGCAGATGCGCACGTTTGTTGTTTTTCGTATTCTGCTGATCGCGTTACTCACATGAGATTACTTGAGATACGGCGTTGTGTATGTGCGTCCATGCATGGCTCTGTGTCGTTGCGAGACCCACGGGACTTCTCTCCGCCCGGTCTTCTTCTTGCCGCCGGGAGCATTTATTTGCCTTACCTTTTTCTGCCACTGATTTGATGTGATTTTTTTTTCTTTTCGTTGTGTGTGTGTGTACGTGCGTATATGCGTGTGGGCGTCGTCATCAACATCGGCTTCTTCAAAGGTCTATCGTCAGTGCGTCGCCGCCTTTGTTGTATTGGTTTCTCAACGCATCTTCCTCCACTCCGTCAGCGTCAGCGGGGGCGGGTGTTGCCTCTAATGCATAAAAATAATACATGAATAATAAAATGTTCAACAAATTATTGTAGCGGTTTGTCTCTTTCTGTTGAATGCCCGGCGCCGCCCCGCACGCTTGCCTTTCCCCGCAGCAGAGTCGCCGATGGGGGTGGGGTGGGGTGGGGTGGGTGGGTGGGTGGGGGGTCGCAGCTTCAGGACGAAGGGAGTGACGGGGGGACGACAAACGGCACCAACCACAACAACAAAGGCAGCGGCGGCAGTAGAAAAGTAAAACATGCGAAGGATGAGGAAGCGGGATGCGTAGGCGTGTGGTCACGGCGGGGTGGTGATGGTGGTGGTAGCCAGGCAGACTCATCTGCGTTGCCCCCTCGTTTGCAGGAAAGCACCCGGTACAGCTTCGTATGTGCGTATGTGTGCATCCCCTTCACTCTCTCTTTGTAAATATACGTATATGCTTGTGGGCGGATTCTTTTTTTTTTGTCTTTTTTTTTCGTCTTATGGTTGTTTTTGTCCTGCCATGCGTTTTTTTCTTCCACCTTCCCGTCTCTTTCTTTCTTTCTTTCTTGTTCTCTCTCTGCGTGCATGCCTGTGTTGCGGCGAGTTAAACTTCGTGGGAGATGTTTCATCTTTGCTCTCTTTTTTTGATCTTTTGTTCCCTTTGCGTGTGTGTTTTTGTTTTTGTTTTTTACTTTTCCGTATTTTTCACGTTTTATCTTTATTTTCCACGGCGCTCACTCCCCCTCACATCCTGCATCACATCTCGCACTCTCCGGCCTCTTTTCACCACCTGTTTTTAATGTATTTCTGAATATTTATGCATACACGTTTTTTACCGTTTTCCCCCCATCACACACACACACAGAGAGAGAGAGAGAGAGAGAGACACGCACTTATGTGTGTGTGTACTTCTGTACATATGCCATGTGTACATGCTATGAGTAGGTGCTTGCTTTGTTTACAGCTAAAGTAAAAGCGAGACCCTTATAGTTAACTAACAACTGCTGGCGCAACCCACAAAAAAGCAAGCAAGCAGCGAGAGAGAAGACATAACTCTTCTTCCACGTGAGGGAGACGCATAAGTGTGCCCACATTACGATACAGCGGGAGAGCTCGGTGTAGAATAAAAAAAAAAAAACAACAACAACAACAAAAACAGGAAATAGAAGGAAAACAAGCGATACGGCTCCAAAGCGAGCCCTTTTGTAGTAGTTGTTTCTTCCTACTTGTTTCTTGTTTCTTGTTTATTTTTTGTTTGTTTGTTTGTTTGATGATGTTGGGGAGAAAGGTGTCGTTCCCCCTTTTGATATATACACACACACACACACGTTTATTCCTCTTACTTTTCCATTCTCTTTCCCTTTGCGTGAACGGCGGCAGTGTTTCGCGCGTGGCTGCCCTCTCTCTTCTCTCCGTCACTACTCAACTCCGCCGCGTGCCTCATGTCTTCCACGCTCATCTCTTTTTTCTCTCTCTTCTTGTCTCATCTCTG